TCTATTTCCTTTTTTAAAAAAATATCAAAAAACTTATTTTTTTTCTGCTTCACTTCGCAATTTAGGCTGAGAACAAATCCACTTTCAGATCTTTTTAAGAAAAGCAATAGATTTTTATTTACTCAAATATGAAATGTGACATATATGGCAAATGCAAACATAAAAAATAGTAAATATCAAGTGCTTCACAGAAAGACGAGTGAGAAGACAGAACTATTATTTATATATATATATATATATATATATATATATATATTTTTTTTTTTTTTTCTTTTGAGCCCAGATGAAGAATTAACCATTATTTATTTCCTGTTAATTATATTTTTGAGTGTGAAAATTTCAAAATAAAACCATTTATGAAGAAATGAAAGCTGTGATATTTAATCAAGGATGAAAACAAAATAAAATGTTATCTTTGCTGTTCAGCTTTGCTATTTTTTGTTTTGCTATTTTCTGTTAGTTGCATGCGTGTGCATGTGTATGTGTGCTCGGCAGAGGTTAAAGGGATCAGTCAGGGAGAGCTGGATGCCTACATCATCTCTTTTTCTGCAAAACATTTTCTCTTAAAAAACGAGTTAATCAACCTGAGCAAACGGATAAAATCATGAGGAGTGGATCTTACATGCAACAAAGAATATGTGTGCAGTCAAAGACCCTTAGAGTGATGTGGTGAGGAAGATACGGTAGTATAGCTTGTGTGTGTGAGCTACACCTGTGTGAGAGCTGTTGTGGCTTTGGGAGTGGGCACTCAAGGCCAGTGTTCCTCTCCTACGCCTCCTTATCCGTGTCTTTGAAGACGGGCGAGGATGGGAGAAAAGGCAGACAGAAGGTCAGAGAAGACGCAGCGATATGAGGAGTGAGGGGGAGACGAGGAAGAGAACAGAGGAGGCGTGAGGGCGGAGGAGGGCATGGTGACATTGCCTCCAAGGACCTCGGCAGCTTCTCGGTGTAGCTCGCTCTGAATCTCAGAAAAATAGTACAGACGGGATCGGCTGGAGGAAAGATTGACGGTTTCAAAGCAACAAAAAAAAGTATTTTCATCTCTTCTTCAGCACTTTCCATCCATGTCAGATATGCCACGCTGAAGTAAATGTATATGCTGCCATCTTTACCTATGTTTACAGATGATTTTCTTTATAGATATTCATGTATGTCAATAAGTTTGACATTCACAGCTGCTTGAGCGAGGTATAACTACTGAAGAAAATCTGATAAAGTGGGTGCGCGTGCATGTGTATGCATGTGCAGCTGAGGTCAAAGGTCAGCATCAGGGAGAGCTGGATGTATGAACGCTGATGGCTGTAAGGTTCACCTGCACCTCCACTGACCTCCATCCATCTGTTTATGTTCACTGATTCTGGCTTCTCAGAAAGGATCTATGCACACACACACACACATACGCACACATGGAGAGAACACCATAGATGTTTTACAAAAAAAACTGATGTAAAGTTTGACTGTGAAATTTAAAAAATGTGTTTGAAGCAGTGAGAGTTGGAGTGCTGTTGTTTTCCTATTATGGGAACAAAGTGATTCAGGTGAATAGCAATACATTTCTTTCTCAGTACCTCCTAGATGAATACTTTTTTCACATTCACTTTCCACATTCATTTTTGGTGTCATAAAAGACATTTCCTTATGTACAAATCATCAATTGTTGTTAATTAGATGAGTTTATAATAGGTTTCCCTGGCAGAGTGACATCATGACCACTGCGCTTCACCTTTAGCTGTTCTCTGTTTTACTAAAGCGCTTTATTCCTGAATTAGGCTGGTGTCAAACTAAATCTAAAAAGTAGAAATATGAAAAGGTTTTATGCATGAATACAAGGTTTGATAATGTAGCACATGTTCACATGTGCTATCTTATTTTACTAAAGCCATATTTGTTTAGTTCAATAATTGCAATTAATCGTGAACTGTATACTTTATCAGTTTTGCTGGCTGTATAAGCTCTGTAGCTCTCTGTGGTCCTGCTACCACCTGCAGAAACGCACCGTTCCTGGTCAGAAACAATCAATCAGAGTCGAGAGGAACGTCCCAGCTCTGTCAGTCATGCTTATATATATGTGCCGCTCACACCCTCCTTCACACAGAGTGTACAAGCTCAAGGTTGTTGGTTTGTTCCAGCTGTTCTAATGATAGAGAAGCAACCTAACATTTCAGAAAAAACTGCTCCCCTCAACCATCCCCTACATCTATTTGTTCTGTCTTGATAGAGCAGAAGCAGCTTTCTACTTCATTTATTGCATGTAAGAGAACCACGATGGTTCGATATTGGTGGATTCAAGGGTGTAAAAACAAAGGCTATAAAACAATAAAGAGAAGTTTTTAATTACATCCAATGAAGGAAAACAGGGAGTAGTGTCAGCAAAGACCCCAGTAGTAACTGTATAACAATAAATACATTTCTAAAATTAAAGTCAGAGTCAGAGAAAATGCTTCTCATCAATAAATACTTTTAAAAATAAAAGGTTATTATTTATATGACTATAATCCCATCTTAATTGTGAAGCCACAACTCCAGTATATGAGAACTAAACCCAGAGCTGTTTGAGCTGAATGGAGTGTGAGCACACACTCCCACACCACCTCTGTCACTGTCTTGTTATTTTTATAATTCAAGATCTGTGTGGAGAGTAGACGAGGTGACACGGGGAGCGTGGCACTGATAAGGTAGCTAATACCCAGCTTTTGATGAGGTCAAAGGTCAACTCCGCTTTACTGCTGGTATTTAGGGTGTCATGTGTTGTTATCTGGGGAGGGAGTGGAAGGATTTGGGGGTATCAATTTGTAGATGATTGGGGGAGGTGACTTGTGTGATTTTATACTTGCCATTATTTTTGTTTGAACCTGCATAAGATAAAGAAAAAAAGTTCTCATCACTGATGAGGAACAGAATCAGCATCCCACAGGAACAGGAAATCCAGAGGGATCAGTCTTCTGATCCGCCCCAGCACTCAGACAGTCCAGCACACATGTTAACACACACATTTGCTCCCGCTAAATCAGCCTGTTGATTGAGAGGGCTGCTAATTTTAGCAGCGGAGCGCCCTCCCGGCTGCAGACTGGCAGGCCCTTTTTTTTTTGCGTGTTCGGGTCCAGTTAGGAGCAGGCGGAAGAGAAAGCGATTAATAACTGTCATGTCTGTCACGACAGAGCAACACACAACAGAGGGGAGGGTCCGGGGCACTGACGCTACAGGGGAAATGGAGTTACACGCAAGATGCTAACAGCTCCTGTTGTTGTTGATGTTGTTGTTCAGGGGGTTATGCATGCTAATGCAACTGTTAGAAGAAATGAACTGTTGAACTGTCAAGGTCAAAAGTTTGTCTCAGGACACGATTACAAATTATCTACAGCTAGACACATGCATTATTTATAGTGTATGTGTGATTAAATAAGATATCTATATATTGCAGATTATTACAAACAACACCTTCATGTGTTTCAGTTGAAGACACTTTAGAGAACCATGTTGGTTCTCTAAAGGACCAGCATTTAGAGAATTAACAACCAATAACGTAAACCCCCCATAACATATTTAAAACCATCAATACAATAACTCTTATAACTAATATAAGAAAGTGTTAAGCCAGTAACATGACCACCTTCATTATATTTGTGCAACACAAGTTGGTCCCATGACTGTTGTTCTCTGTTTGAATACATCACCAAGTGATCCGATTACTAAAATAATTTTGCAGTAATTAATTAAATAATATTTTTTCCTACATTTAATTCTTCCCCACTTACGTTGATTAGAATGTTAAAATATGGGAAAGCATTATGTCATCATTGGCCATTATTTGATTATTGGTTTGCTTGCACAAACGTTTGTAATGCATGGCAGCCATATTGGATTTTAACGTTGGGGACGGAGAGAAATCTCCAAGTTTCTATCAGAGTTTCAAGTTCTTATTTTTTTCCAACTTCTAACTTGAAATTTTGCATTTTTGAGTTAAAATGAAACACACGACGCCATGCATGTTTTGTATTTGCTAGGTTTTTAGAGGAAACTTAAGTTCTGTTGTGCCACTGTTTTAAAATGCTTGTTATCAGACAATCAGACATTTTCTGGAAAGATATATTTTAAAAAAAAAAGGCTTAAGAAGTGGAGTTGTAGAAAACTGACAGAACTTTACGCTCTGTTGTGCATTCTGACCTTTCCTGCTGCGTTGTCTCCAGCAGGGAGCTGCATTGGAAGTCTCACCACTAGAGGGAGTCAGGTCAAAGTGTTTTCTTTCCTTATTTCTACAAAAAGCAACACACTACTTCCAAGAATGATTGGAAATATCAGTCATATCAATCGAAAATATATTATTGTAAAATTGTATTTGCTAACATTTGCATGATCCCTGATTTAAAACAACTCGCCTCAGAGTTATTAATCAAAATCTCTCTTTTAAGATAGTTAAAGAAGTAAATTTCTCAGATTAATCATCGTGTTGATCAAGTTTTAGCTGAGATAAATGCATGCTTTCTGGTATTTTGGGGATTTCTCCTTTTTTTAATTTTTCAGAATTTCTGAGGAATTGTTATGAGATGATGCAATCTTTTCCTCTTACTGGTTTTGTGTAAAACATGTTTATATCAGTTAGTAAATCTTTTTATTGTAAACATGCCCAGACACTTTACACCCATGTGTTTAATGCTTGTCAGTGCCGTGTAGAGCAGAGGGGCTCAATCTTATCTGGCAGCCAATTTTAGAGATATTTAGACATGTATGTCAGCACTAATTGCTTGGCTGCAGTTGACCTTGTTCTTTTTGATGATTACCTCATCAGCTTCTCTTCAGTCTGCAGCAGGTAAACTCTAAGATTGGAAAAGCTGTTGAGGTGTGCATGATAGAAGTATATAGATGTTTGTGTCTGTGACAGTGACCTCGGTTTGCCTACAGCACTGTGTGTTTTCAGGCTGCTCATCCCAGCCCAAGTGGGAGACTCCGGGTGTTTGATGTGGCTGACACTTGCCTCCTTTTCTCTGTCTAGCTACAGATCAGTGGCCAGGGCTTGGCTGGGACGGCCCGGTTGAGATGACCGTTGTAGACGACGATCAGCTGCCAAACCGCCAGCTCGGGTTCCCTTTGGTCACATGAGCTGGGTCACATGAGCCATTGGGGGCAGCCAGTGGTGCTGCTGGCCTTGCCTCTTCATGCGGTGGGAAAACATTCCAACAGCTGGCCTCGGACTGTTTCAGAAACATCTGCAATGTTCGTCACTGGTGAGAATCCCAAACTCCCGCTGCTCCAGAACATGACCTTATGATAATAAGTTGGTAGGTAAAAATCTGCAAGGCCCATAAGTCATTCTGAAAATTCATTTGATAGTGTGGAGATTTTAGAGTTGCATTGTTTTAGCAGGGTTAAAGGATCAGGGTTTCTCCCTGATCTGACATCTGTGCGTGTGTGTGTGTGTGTGTGTGTGTGTGTGTGTTTGTTTTTGTGCATCTGTTGGATCTTTTTCCAACATTGCCACATAACCTAGTCCTAATGCAGCGAACCACTGGAACAAAGTCATAAATTTGCATACACAAATTTGCTCTGCTTTTAAATAATCTGGAAAAGCCCAGATTATGACTTTAGGCTCATTCACAAACATTTAAACAATTAAGGTTAACATAAACTCGAGGTGGCAAAAACAGGAACTTTTGGGATGCCATCAAACTCCAACATTTGTTTATTTCTGAACATTCATGCAATAGTCGTCGGACACCACATCGGAAAAAAGTTTTGCTCTGAAGATGTGCTAAGACCAAGCTACAGAAATTTCCAAAGCAAGAACATGATAATGTCACATCATTCTTGCCAAATCTGGTCCTAGACATTTGGGCAAAATTATGTGTGCTCACAACTAAGTATATTAAAGAAACCTCATGACATAGCATTATTCTACAGCACAAATGTGGAAATACTGCTTCATGGTAGATTCAACAAAATACTAAACATGGATTAATTTAATAAACAAGCGGGACCATTCAGTATCAATCCAACTGCATTTTATTTCACACCTAGATACCAAACTTTGAAAATATTAAGACATTAACATAAAAAAAATTACTATAAAATATAGAATAATTAAAACACATGCAACATTTACACTAGAACCTGTTGTTATATTTGTGGAGTCTGAGGTTTTGAGGATGCAGGTCTTAGAAATTTAAGAAGCTCATCTGAGGAGAGATGAACAGATATAAATATTACTGATAATGAGCCACAGTATACTGATAATAAGCCACAGTAAGCTTACTCTGTTTCAGTTTAAACACAAACAGCAAAGAAAGACTGAGGTAAATTTTAACATCTGAAATAGCTTTTTAATTTTTAAATTTAAGTTGTCTATTAAAATTAGGACTCAGCAACATTATATTGATTTTATGATTTAAGACAAGATGTAGGTTTAGATGTTGATTATGATAATATTGCTATACAACACAGGCCTAAGTTTTATCTTTTCTTAGTTTTAAAGGCCATGTTAGATGACAGTGAAGTTGTCATTTTGTGAACTTGTCAAACTGTTCCAGCCGTTTCAATATTATGATTTACCTTATGATTCATCTCTTCACGTAGATATGTTGCAAATTCTCATGAACCTGTTAACTTCACCTTAGTTTCATTAATTTGTATTTTGATCAAGGTCGTATTTCAATAAAAATGGTTATGGCATAATGAGAACAGCCTCCTCCCCCCTCAGCCTCAAACGAGATCTGATTTTGGATCGTGTCATCCAGTTCTGCTTCTTGCAGAAAAACAAATTTCTCTGTTCTTACAGAGTATGGATTAGTCTTTAACAAAAGCCACATCTGTGGATGTATTTTGAGCCTATAACTGAAATTCACTGAGGAAGGAATCAAGGAAGCAAGGATTGAGATTTGTGGACCTTCATGAGGGGTCTGTGTGGTAAACAAGAATGTGTTTTGGTGCAAAATGTGTGTATTAATATCAGAACTAAAGGAAAAGACATTGTCAAGATGCTTGCTGAACTTGATATTAGTGTTTTTTATGCATGTTGACATAGGCTAAAAGGGCAGTCAGAGAGAAAGAAGCAATTACTCCAAAAGCGACATAAAAAGTCAAATTACTGTTTGAAAACGTCCCAAGGAACAATATTGCATTTGTTAGCCACAGTCTCTGGTTTCATGGAAGTAAAACTGAAGGATCTTGCAAAAACTGACCGCCGGTACATTTGAAAGAAAAAGCCTGGGAACACCATTCCAGCTGTTAAACAAAGAAGTGAAAGCATCGTGTGGATTGTTGCATGAGAATCCACTTCACAAAGTAGATGACATCCATAAGAAGGACACAAATGATTCTTCTAAATTGACAATTACTCCTAGGATGAAGTTTATATTAGCTATAATTTGTCTTAAGAACAATTAGGCCAACATTTTGGAACAGCCATAACAAAACTCTGATTTCAGTCTCGCGTAAAACATTTTAACCAGAGTTGAGAAGGCGTGTGTGAGAGCAAAGTGGCCTAAAATCTGACTCAGTTAGAGGGAATGGACCAAAGTTCCATGAAACAGAAGCGCTTGAAAAATATTCTCTCTCAATGTTCTGACCGTTAGTGAATAAAGATCACTTAATCCTGCCTTTCCTAAAAACGACAGACGTATTTTTTTTGTGTGATGTCAGACAGGTTGTATCTCTATTCACACTGGGACTGTTGATAAGTACTGATAGTCAAAGCTTAGTGTTGGATACAAATGGAGAAACTAAAATGCTTGGCAGTTAAAGATATCATCCTAATAGGGATAGAAATCCAGACTGTGTATCCATCTGTGGGTGTGTGTGTGTGTGTGTGTGTGCGTGTTTGCGTGTGCACATGCACCCATAGCCTTTGACATATTGTTAATTTGAAGAATGTTTGAAGTATGATGCAACATCAGCTGCTCTCACTTAACTTTAAGCCTGTTCCTCTGAAAAGGACCTCCTTCTCGAATTACCAGGGAGAAAACCCGAGTACCACGCTGTGTGTCAATTATGGAAGGGGAGGTGGTGGGGGCGAAAAAACGCTTTAAATGTTTTGTTAATGCAATTTAACTTTGAAGCATTTGACAGTTTTCAAAGCAGTCATTAAACCGGCAATGATAACAATTTTGGGCCATTCCTAATGTGGAATAGATAATATCCATATCTGTTTTGGAAATTTGTACGTGGTCAGTGAGGCAGTGTCTCCAGTCGGGGACTGTTTTAAATAATGTGGAGCTTTGTGCACGGTGTCTTTGTTGTGATCTGGATGTTAGCGTATAAGTGGATGGAATGGAACTGTGTTTTCAAAGTATTCCGAAACCTTTTGCTGGAAATTTGAGGTGGAAATCATCTCGTTTCCTTCAAATTTCATTTGGTTTTATTTTTCTATGACCTGAAAGAGAGGATAAACGTTTTCATCTTCTTGTCATGATGCAATTTAAAGTTTGTTTTTCCTATAACACCCCATCTACCCCATTGTTAGGGGAACGCTATGACAAGCTTAAATCCAGCATTTGGGAGTAAAAGAGAGGTGTGAGTGCATACTCCAGCCCTGACTCACTGAAGATTTTGCTTCACTCACTCTCTCTTCTTTTATTTGTTACGTGACCTGAAGTTGCTCATTTACCTTTCAGGGTTGGTCTCTGCCCATGCTCATCGTCCCACCAGTTCCTGTTGGTACTCTGCCAGTATCTCAGGCTTTAACACTTGACTTTCCGTTGGAGTTCTACATGAGCTACTGGATTTCCACTGATGCAACTGATAAACAAGAGAGGACAGGATTCATGGCGCCTAACGTGGCTGGTGCTGCACAAAGGCACAGGCAGGTAGAACAGCTCCAAACAGTTGAGCTGCACGCTACGCTGGTGTAATCATGGCAGAACAGGAACACTGCATGTTAAATCAACTATTTTTTTATGTTATGTTGGTTGCTGCACAATAGCATTACTACATTCAATAAAGTAGCAGTTTGGATTTTATGGACATTTGGTAATATAGGTACTAAATAAAAACCTGCAGAGGCTTTTATAAGGAGGACAACGAAGGTTCAACTTGAAGATTTCTTTTAAAACGGGGATTAGAGGAGAAGCTATGAGTATTCAGTAGGCAGGCTTCAGTCTCCAGAAACAGCAACTTATTCTCAGTTAGTCTAGCCAGCAATTAATCACAATCACTAGGTTGAAAGAGTTCTTGGTTGTGGACAAAAACCTTTTCACAACCCTCTTTATGTCTGTTAGTTTTACTTCAGATAGCTATTTAACACCGAAGATAGTAACAGTTCATGGTCTCTTATCAATATATTTGCTGGTGGCATACATGCTGCAATGTTTCAGCGATATGTGATAACTGAAAGAGTAATGATAAGGTCTAAGTCCCATAATGTTATTGTAGTTATACCTACAGCATTGCTTTTTAAATACAGTACTCCCTTTCTTTTCCTTTTGCAAGTTAGTCCAATTAGGCTTAACACAATTCGAGGAATGTTACTGAGAATGTAGTGTGGGCCAAGAAAAAGAAAAAAAAAAAATTATTTAGTCAAAATGAAGACATTGGGTAAGGTAAGTGTCCAACCAAAAGGCTGTGAGGCAATTTCTAAGGAACAAAAAGAAAACAATTCTCTTATATTTACTTTTTTTAGTAAAAAAATGAAACAAAGTTGATAAGTATAATAACACTGGAAAAAGATATTGTTTCAAGAGAACAGGAATAAAAAGTATTGCGGTACCAAGAAACCATGAAAAGACCTTAACTGACAAACATAATTTTTGTCAATTGTTTATTTTATTTTTTATATTTTACCAATCTTGTTATTATTTCAACATTTATGTTTGTTTTGTTTTTTTCTCATTTTTAACACCTTTTAAAATGATTGGTGGTGTAAGACGATCAAATTGATCAAATCCCAACTGATTTTGTTTGGTCACCAGATTTTAGGTTGTGATCTCCAGTAACTTTGTCAGACCTGATCACATTTTTTATGAACCTGATCTCAGGTGGAATCCAGCAATACCTCCAGGCATTTCTGCATGACACCCCAAGTGTGTTTTAAAGAAGGTGACAGATGCACAACTATCAAAGTGATGCACTGAAGACAGCCTTAGCTATAACTCTGCGTCCTTTAAAGATGAAAAGTTTCCTAAATAGTAGTATTAAAATCTTTTAAAATATTTTGAGGAGCTATCTAGTGAAATCAAATTAAATTGAAATTCTTCCTGTGGATTTTCTGCCTGGGGCAAGCAGAACATTTGTAGGTTCTCATCAGTAATCTGGGCTCCGTCCCATATTCCAAAGACTCTGTCTGGTTTAATTAGACTTACTAAAGCCATGAGTGTGTGTGTGTGTGTGTGTGTGCATGGTTGTTGGTCCCCAGGGTCTCTGTGATGGACAGGCGGCCTGTCCAGGGTGTATCCCACCTCTTCATCCTGACTGAACCAGTCCTTCACAACTCTAAAATTATTAAATGAAATTGATAGATAATATTAATAGTAGAGAAATAAATGTCTAGCATCCACATTGCCATTTGTACTGTACATATTGCTAATTGCTGACCAGTTTCTCAGCATTATTCTCTCTGCAGTATTATTTAATTTAATGTTTTTATTTTTGACTTCTCACCTAATTTAAGTAACCTAGGCTTCCAGCTTTTTTCTTGAACTCTGAGCATAGGCCTTTAGCCTTTGGATAAGCTTTGTGATATAGGAAAAGGAAACGGCACATGTTTAGTTTGTTTTACATGCAGCTTAATGGATTCCCGCCTATACATGCATGTGTGAACGTCTGCTTCCCTTAGCCGCCGAATCGGCAGCTCTGACACGCGTGACCACGCACAGGCACCCTGCCTGGGGACAGGATGGGCACCTACACAGATGTCCCCAGTGTTGAGGCCGAGGCGGTCCAAAGTGTGGGATGATGTGGGCACTCCGGGCACAATGGAAGGATGTGGTGTATTGTTCAAGTTCATGGGGAAACTGAAAAAAGGCTGCTTGGGTGTGAAAGTCAGGATTTGACGCATGTGACATGTCTGTTGATGGACAGTAGTAAAACCAGAGAACATGGAACCTAAACTGTGAAAGCATAGTGTATATAGCAGCATTTTAGTATAACATAAAATATGGACATTTTAAAAAAGGTTTTTGTGGATATTTGTAAGAAGAAAACATCAGCTTCTGTGCTAAAATCATTGGATTCTTTGAGAACCCGTACTTGCGACCGGTTGAGCATATTTGAACTTTTTTTTTTTTTTTTTTTTTTTTTTTTTTAGCAACCATGCATAATTGGCCAGGGGAATAGCAATAAGAATGTAAGCTGGAATGGATCACAATGCAGAATATGTCACAGCCAATCAGGCGCCTCAGTCTCAGGAAGACAGCCAATCAGGTCATGGCACTTCAGGTTCCCAAGAGACCAGTGAACTCTTTCCAAAGGACGTTTCTGAGGAGATCATGAACTTTTCCCTCCAGCAGTTGTCTTTGCATATAGAGTATTTTCTCTCGTAGGCGAGTATGTCTCTCTGCCAATTTTATTTTGCATCATGTCAAAGAAATGTTTCCTCTGATACAGACTCTCATTTTTTTCCTTGTCTCTCTGTCTCTCACTCATTATGTTTCTATCAGTCTTCACTCATCCCCCGCCAACCTCCCCCGCCCACTGCAGTGATGGGAAAAGAGCAGGAGCAGGAATTTCTGTCTATGAGTTCTGTTTAGTTAGACAGGTCATATAACACGACAACGGAGCATTCACATGTGTCTAAGAGCTGAGCCAGTTACAGCTATTTATATTAAAGACCCCAAAATGAGCAGCGCTGGGGCTTTGAGCCTCCAAGGTTGCATTAAGTGAAATAGAATCACCCTTTTCCTTGCCACTCAGCACACTTTGTTTCTGCCCATTCACTCTATTCTCAGTCTTTTCACCGTTTGCCTTTGACATGCACTAAAATCCAACGTAACTTGGTCATTTAATCGCACTTTTTCCTAGTTCCTCCTTTCATCGTCCATTTGCTGTTTTTGAATTTTTCCTTGGATGAAACTACTATTTCTTTTTTTTTGTCACCCGGAACGTCAAAGCAGACGGTAGCATCTACTCCAAGACAAACTTGTGCGCTCAAGAGCTGCCAGTTGTCAACAGGGCCAGGTGTTATAACATCACTATGAACACCTGTGACAGCAAATATGTGTTGCCTTGTTCTCTCCACATCTTGCAGAAGTGGAGAGAACATCTTACCATCTCTGTTCAGCCAACATCTGCTCATTCATTTTATTTACAAGTACTTAAAATTATAATTTACCATTTAGATGAACCGTTAAATTAATGGAAAAAAAGACAAGTGGACAAACAGTTTGACTTCATCTGATGCAGTCGTGTTTTTATCCCTTCACAAATGGTTAGATGGGGATTCCCTCCAGCCGTCATCTGATGGTGTTAGATGAACGTTAAAACCGAGTATCCATAGACACTTTCACCAATGCTTGTCATATTGGTGAACAGAGTTCAGGTTCTTTGTGGACTCCACCCCCAAAATGAAACAGCATGAGCAATGGATTTGACATAAAGCTGTACCAAATAAAATCACTTATGGTCAACTTTTTCTAATGGAGGGCAATGTTCATTCAATTTTAGACCGTCCTGGTCACTGAAATCCAGAGAACACACTTTTGGCCAAACAGACCTGCATTAAAAGTTTTTTTAACAACTGACTTACTATTGGCAAGCTTATAAATCAGAACTGTATAAGTATTTCACAGCAACAAAAGCAATTTTCACTCTCTGTCATCTTAAAGAGCTGGCCATGACTCACTGGAAGTCTGAGAAGAAAGCAGGGATACAAAAATTTGGCACACTGGTCCATCAGTACTGAAGTAAGCAGAATTCGTGACAGCTATTTTAGTGGGTTTGCCGAGATTGTGCCAGTGGCAAAAAAAATATAAAATCTGAGCCACTGGCACAATCTACTGGATTGCAGTGAGCAATCTGTACTTTACTTTCTGGCAGCAGAAGCTTCTTCAATGTTTTTGTTCAGTTGAGAGAGAGAGTTAAACATTAAAAAGAAACACATAAGAAACATATTTACGACTAAGTTGTTATGATATGCGGTCCCAAGTGAATCCTAATGTCTCATTCTATCCCAACATCCAAGTTGCAACAAGCCCTTACACTCATCCCTGCATGAGAGCATTTTCTCACATTTCTTCATCTGTCTCTGTACTGTATGCCTTAAAATGCTCCCTCACCTCTGAACTCTGTGCGGAGCTCGCTGCGTGCCACTTTCGGTCTGAAAGCCGCATCACAGTGTCAGTCTTGTGCTAATTAATTTTGTCTGTGTTTATACCTGCTCCACTTTAGGTCATTTGGAGAATAACTGTGGTTGCTGTGGAAGGAGGCTTAGTTCATGTCAGATGCTTTTTTTTTTTTTTTTCTCACACAAACACTCACAAACTGACACAGACACACATGCACACAATCATGAACGTACCTTATATTCCTTTCACACACACATACTGAGTTACCGTGACTAATACCGTACCTCTTGGCAGGCACAGGCCGAGTTCAGAGGTCACCTCTGTGTCAATAAACAAGGGAGTATGTGAGTTGCTCTGTCGTGCCTGAATGCATCAATGCAGCCATCTTTGATTGGTTTAAACTCCACCTAGCATCTCTGTCCTATCTCTTACAGGATGAACTTTGCAAAAAAAAAAAAGCCAAACTTTCATATTAATGGTAATCTTTCGTAATTTAGAGCAGTGGTGTTGAAACATATTTTGCCTGAGTACGAGCCATCAAATCAGCCTTTATTTGAAAATGAAAAGAAAAACTTAAGGATTGATGGAGCTCTTTTTTTATTTTTTTTTAGCCAGCATTACTTGGATTTGTCCCCTGATGCGAGCCAAGTCCCCACTCTGACCCTGCTGAGATCAAATCCTTTCCCTTTTAACCTGATGATGACTCTACCTCCAGCCTGCTCCAAAAAGACAGGTATAGTGTTTCTCCC